TAAGAGTCTTTTTTATTTATCCAAACTGCATTAGATTATTTTGTATAATTAAAACTTTACAAAAATATATCAGCATTCGATTTGTAGTTAAATATGAAGAAATGTTAAGATTTTTGATTTCGAGAACAGCATATTAAAGTTTGTCAAGATGTTTTTTTGTAATTTTATTGTAAAGTTGAATGATAATGATGTCATAATTTTGATGAGCTTTCGACAGTTCCAAAGCGACAGAAGGTATTTGACAAAAAAATAATTCAACGAATAGAATAATACAAAAAATTAAGTATCCATTTTAAATAATCAACAGTATACGTAACTGATTTTTTTTTATTTTACTACATAATTAAACATTGATTTTATTTTACACTAGTTGTTGCCTCCGACTCTGTCCGAAATTAAAGAAAAAAAAAATGTTTTCCAGACTATGTTGTATATCTATGCCAAATTTCAGCGAGATCCGGTCAGCCGTTCTGGAGATACCTTCAAACAAACATCCATCCATCCATCCATTAAAAGTAAAAGGTTTATTTCGTCTCTAAAGTTGTTTATTAATTTTGATTTTTATTTCGCCATCATTCTACTTACTACAAAACAAACTACATTTGCTATGATTAAATAAATTACATTTTCTCATTATAAGAAAATTGTCGAATACATTGATAGAAATTCGACCACAATCCTATTAGACTGGGTCGTGCTTGCTCAAGTCGGCTATAAATCTGAGGCACACTTAATTAAGGCCCTGCTTTGAGATGGACACCGGCCGGACGGAGGGTCGCTTTACGATCGAAGAACACCGTTACGATATTGGTCGACCTCTTCAAACATTTGACGGATGTACAAATTATTTGCCAGACATATTGGTGACTTTGGTCGTCAATGAGTTTGTTTCTCTTTTCATAAAAAAAAGTTTATTGTTACGTTCTTTATCTTGTTTTTACTAATATATGTAAATAAATGTGTATATAAATGTAAAATTTGTATAGATGGATAGATGTATGGATGTTTAACTAGAACGACTGCATGGATCTCGCTGAAATAGGGTATATATTAAGAACATAGTCTGGAAGAACCATTAGGTTACTAATTCAGTTTTTTTTTACTTCCGCGCGGACGGAGCCGCGGTAAACAGCTAGTTTATCTATATTCGAAAAATATCGAGTATTGATTTTTCATTAGATATCAGTCCGTAGCTATCTTAATGTAGCACTCAGAGTCTTTAATTGGCTTATAAGGAAGACCATACAAGTTGATTTATTATACTGTGCTGCGGTTACTAGCAAACAACATACGTGTCGACATGTTGCAAAGACGTTTTTTTAATTCTTTTTTTTAAATGGCAATTAATTTTTCACTAATATTGTCAATAGGAACAATGTTTTGTACGATTCCTCTAGTTAATTTTGAAAAAAAGTTTTTTTACATGTTTCGTATAAGTTAACGAATAAATTCATACTCGGCACAAAAATTGTGGGATTTAAAGAATTGCCTATTTTTAAATATTTGTAATCAAAGGTTTTTGAATCTAATTCTTTTTATTTTAATGTTTAAAGAGCAGGTGAAACAAAACATCAGTTACTGTGTTCTTTTATCTTTTTGTTATAAACATCATATGTATTTTTTAATTTGTATACTTAGCAGAATTTATCTTTTTAAAAAATATATACAAGTGGAAAAGCATATTTACAATACATTCAAATAAAGGACACTTTTTGATCAAAATATCCCACATCTAAATCCCTACAGTCTTGAACCGTGTTGTACGAGTTTTTATTTGCTTGGCTTCATTAAGTGTGCTTGGGCAAAAAAATTATAACTTTTTTCTAATGATGCCTCCAACTGTGATAGGGTGAAGTTGAAATATTGACGACCTATTGAAAAACACAGAAACGGACACGTAAACCCACGGAGTCACAGAAAAAAAAATATTTTCCCTTTCAATACGTTCCCTTCTCCGTCAAATCCACGTACTCTTCCCATCCTTTCCGTTTTTTTTGTGAAATTTTTAGTAAAATTATTATTTCTAAGTAAAAGACTATCTTAGACCGGTCAAGCATACAGTAATAATAAAAAAAAACACTAAAACGCTTTGACGTAAATACACCTTCGTCGTATAAATAATAACCACTGTAAATTGAGTCATGCTATTCCGTAGTGTTATGGTAAACTGTCGATTAAGGGTTCAAGATATAATGGTCGCTGATAAGAAAGACAGCTGTGCACCCTACCGTCTTTTAAACAGCTGGCACGTCTTAAGACTCGCGCTTTATGAATGCGACTTAATAACGCGTGAAGGGAGCACCCAAAGGGGTACATACCTTGGTATATTTGTTTTAAAATAAGTTTAAAGTGTCAATATCGAGAAATTATGAATTCGCACCATCACAAGCCAATGATGGGCGTGTGATCGATCTTACTTCTTACTAATATTATAAATGCAAAAGTTTAGACGGATGAATGTTTGTTAGTAGGTATCTCCAGAACGGCTCTACGGATCTCAATGAAATTTGCCATAGATGTAGAACATAGTCTGGAAGAAAACATAGTCTACTAATTATTTTTTTTATCACTTGCGTCCGGAGGAGATGTGCGGAAGACAGTTGGTTATATTTTTTTTTAATTCTAAATAATAAATTTCATTTTTTATCTATCTAGGATTGTTGGCACCTTAGTAGTTCAATGTATTTTATATATTCATTTGAATTTTTTGATTCTCCCCTGACCCAAGATGGCGAAGCCCATGACTAAAGAAAACGCAAACAAGAATTACTCGACAGTTTGTGGCCCCATCGACCGTCCATTCTGCGGACAATATGGCCGGCCCATCGCCACTTAAGGTTTGCAATTCCAGAGTGGCGGGCACGGACAGATCGACGCAGCGTGGGCAGGCTTCCCGCAAGATGGACCGATGACCTGGCCAAGATTGCGGGAGCGTCCTGGATGCAGGTAGCACAGGACGCCTATGCCCAGCAGTGGGCGACTTACGGCTGAGAAAGTAGAAGAAATAGTACCTGCAAATACAAAAGTTTTCTGACTGAAGATCTTTCCTCACAATATCACTACTTAATGTGTAAAAAAATCGAACGAACTAAACTTCGGAAATCTTATACTAAATTGGAGAGATAGATGGAAAATTAAGATATCATACATAAAATAAAGGTCTTGGAAGATGGGACGCAAGATTAACTTATTCAAAATTCACATCTTACGAAATTGACGAGACACACTCCTTGCAAATAGGCTTTAAAATTTACATACAAACTAACTTTATTATAAAGGGTACGCAACGATTTCCAAATTAATACTAAAGCTACAGTCCCTCATCATGTCTTAAGAACGAATGTGAAGAACGAGGAAAATTTATAATGTCAATTTTCCTAACCTATTTATAGCGTGTTAAGGCGAAAAGGTTTTTCGCGGCTATATTTTTATATTTAATTGAGAACTCCTATAGCCTTAACAGCCTAAATATTGTAAGTGTAACTTTTTTTCTATCCTGAGATATCAGAGAAGCATAATCAGAGTACAGTAGATCGTATTTACCGTATTAGCTTTTGCGCGCGACTTTGTCCCCGCGAATATTAAAAAAAACTTGGTAAGCAACCTTTGCGTTTTTCCAAACTATGTTCTACATCTGTGCCAAATTTTACAGATACCCGTTAAGCCGTTTAGGAGACACGTACATAAAAACAAACATCCATCCATCCAAACTTTGAACATCTCTTAACATTAACTTAATTCATTAGTTGGCAATATAATCATAATAAAATTAATCTTATCCTAATTATTGTCTTATATATATGTAAGTAAAAATACGAATAAAAACCTGAAAACGAAATTTTCACCATTTATATACTATATAAGTTTACATATATATACATTCACAGTTTAAACAGCTCAAATATTTATTTATATCGCTTCGTTAAAGTTATATTATTGCGTAGAGTAATTCTTTGTTAGCGCTTGTTTGCATATGGCAAATACAAAGTTCGAACAAATTACATCTCTATACAAGTAATCGAACTATTGACACAGGTGATAGTAGATTTTTTTTTTAAATTCACGACTGCCATCATCACTTACCAGAAACAAAGGGGCATATGTTCCAGATTTGTTAACGATGTAAATTGAATTTTATTTGTTAAGCGTTAAGCGAAAATAACAAAATATTTTCTATCAAACTTCAGTAACAACCATGGCTAATGGTTAACATAGCTTTGGGTTCAAGGTTCGGCTTATGTCGTGTAATTTACGAATGTTAGATAATATTGCCACTGGATAAGTATAATATCGCTTATAACAATTTGTAATTCGCTTACACAAAAACAAAATATTAATGCATTTAAATTGCAAATATGTGTTGAACATATAGATAATCTGCGTCAAGGGGCTCAAACCAAAGACATAGTACGCCGATGTTCTTATTATGGAGTTCTCAGTGGGTCAAAAATATAAAACAGCATTTTATTAATTAATAGAGTTAAAAAAAAATAACCTCAAACCATTACACATTGTACGTATTAGTTCGAAGACATATTTCAAAATAGATATTGCTGAAATTGGCATAGATGTAAAACATACTCTGGAAGAACACTGGCTACTAATTACATATGTTTTTTCTTTCATTCCACGCGGACGGAGTTGCAGGCGACAGGTAGTTAATAATAAATATATATATATATATATATTATCTAAAATGGTAAAATATTGTTTATTAAGCAAGCATTTAATTAATATTAGAAAAAATACTCAGAATTTATTTTCAAAAAATTTTAGTTCGCGAATACATGACGTTCGCTAAGACAATGGTTTAATCAAGCGAAAATGAATACTATTGTTGGAAATCGCAAGGTAACTTCAATAAACTTAAGATTGTATTAAACAAGAAGATAGTAATTATTTGTTAATTTTGTCAATATTTGATTTATTTTAATTATCGAATTCACATAACAGACGTCGTGCGTCAATACAAAAAAGTAATATCGGTATAAAAAGCTCGACAAAACTGAACAACAGCATCAGTTCGGTTACAGCTCTCAGCTAAAATGAGAGTAACAACCTTTGTGATCCTGTGCTGCGCATTGCAGGTAAGACAATATGTTTTATACAAGTATTTAGACAGTGGAAATCCACAAATCCCCAGTTTCGCTATTGATGGTATGTTCTAACATCTTATAAGTTGTTTGGTTGGGTCCTTTAATATTTTGTGTTACCATTAAAGAGTTTGTTGCGCTCTATAATTGTTTTTTTGATGGGTTAAATTTCGTTGGGCCAAATAAAAAGAGTACGTATGAAGGGAGAATTTTAAGTACCATAGTATAATATTTAAATGGTTTTAACATAAATTGGTATCAAAATATTACACTACATTACACTACAGTACAAATATTACAATTAACATACTCCTCCGAAACGGCTTGACCGATTTTTACAATATTTTATATGCATATTCAGGCGGTCTTAATATCGGCTACTATCTATTTTATAATACCGCGCGGAAGGACTCACGGGCGACAATTTGTATTTACATATATATTAAAAAGGTCTTATCTTTTTAGCAGTATGCAGCTGCAGATGAAAATGCAGTCTTAGATGAAGATATAACTCGCTTTTTAGAGGGCAACAATGACTTTCAAGAAACAACCGAAACGAAATCCGATGAAGTAATAAAAAAAAATGGCACATTAGTCGAAAGGCAAATAATAAAGAAAAAATTCGTAGATAAATCAGGACATAAGCATAACAGGTCAGGTGAAAGGATTACTAAAACTTTTGTAATGGAGTATGATGATGATGGCAAAGAAACTGTATACGAGACTGATGTTGTCGAAACCAACGTTGCGGGCTCGGAACGCGGCAGTTCAAACTCGGCAGCATCAGCTTCGGCAGCTTCGTCAGCATCTGGATTTGGAATTGATTTAGGACGTAATGCTGGCCTAAGTCGACCTAATGGATTGGGTGGTCAGACCTTGGTAATCAACGAAGACAGATCGGGATCATCGGCATCTAGCTCAGCAGCCTCTTCTTCTGCATCGTCAGCCTCTGGATCCGGAAGCTCTGGAAGCGGACCGGGATTCTATGGATACGGCAACAACGGTGCCGCCTCCAACGGTCGCGGAGGAAACCGCTTGAGTGACGGTAGTGCAGCAGCAGCCGCCGCAGCTGCCGCAGCTGCCGCAGCAGCAGCTGGTCGTTCTGGACAAAATAGAAACGGTGGTCAGACCGTGGTGATAAACGAAGGCGGATCAGGATCATCTGCATCTAGCTCAGCAGCCTCTTCTTCTGCATCCGGAAGCTCTGGAAGCGGACCGGGATTCTATGGATACGGCAACAACGGTGCCGCCTCCAATGGTCGCGGAGGAAATCGCTTGGATGACGGTAGTGCAGCAGCAGCCGCCGCAGCCGCCGCAGCTGCCGCAGCAGCAGCTGGTCGTTCTGGGCAAAATAGAAACGGTGGTCAGACCGTGGTGATAAACGAAGGTGGATCGGGATCATCAGCATCTAGCTCAGCAGCCTCTTCTTCTGCATCGTCAGCCTCTGGATCCGGAAGCTCTGGAAGCGGACCGGAATTCTATGGATACGGCTACAACGGGGCCGCCTCCAACGGTCGCGGAGGAAACCGCTTGGATGACGGTAGTGCAGCAGCAGCAGCCGCAGCCGCTGCAGCAGCAGCTGGTCGTTCTGGACAAAATAGAAACGGTGGTCAGACCGTGGTGATAAACGAAGGCGGATCAGGATCATCTGCATCTAGCTCAGCAGCTTCATCTTCTGCATCGTCAGCCTCTGGGACCGGAAATAGATTCAACATTAACGGAGTCGGATTCTTAGGCTTCGGTCCACAGTACCGCAGCAGTGGTGAAACCATCGTGATTAATAGAGGTGGCTCACCCTCAACAGGGTCAACTACTGCAACAGCTTCTTCATCTGCTTCTTCTGGCGCCGATTCCTCTGATGGATCCAGTGCTTTAGGACCTATAGGTTATGGTATTGATGTGTCACTTGCACCATACGGACGGCAGTCACCAACTGTCATTATAAATAGAGAGGGATCTGGCTCAAGTTCTGCTTCATCTTCCGATGGATCTTTATCCAATGGTGTAGGACCTCGAAGATATGGAGGTCAGGCTTATAGTGACAGTAATGCAGCAGCAGCCGCAGTAGCAGCCGCCTCAGCCGCCGCAGCTGCCGTAGCAGCAGCTGGTCGTTCTGGACAAAATGGAAACGGTGGTCAGACCGTGGTGATCAACGAAGGCGGATCAGGATCATCTGCATCTAGCTCAGCAGCCTCGTCTTCTGCATCGTCAGCCTCTGGATCCGGAAGCTCTGGAAGCGGACCGGGATTCTATGGATACGGCAACGACGGTGCCGCCTCCAACGGTTTCGGAGGATTGGGCGTGGGTGACGGTAGTGCAGCAGCAGCCGCCGCAGCCTTAGCAGCAGCTT